CCAGTAGAATATTAATTGTCAATGGTTACACAGTCAGGTTGCGTAATTTAATTGGCAAAATTGGTTATATAGCATCGAAAGTTCACGTTTTTGGTTTTATAGCACCGAAAGTTACCGGTTCACTTTAATAGCATCCAAAGTTCACCATATTCCCTTTTTAGCACTTCCGTCAATTTTTCCGTCCGTCTTGATGGTTATTGATCCAGCCACACACATGATATGACATTTCTACCCCTCATTAACATGCATTATACTTGTACTTGTGAGGGGTAGAAACGTCATATCGTGTGTGTGGCTGGATCAAAACGGACGGAAAACGATCGAGAATTGACGGAAGTGTTAAAAATGGGAACATGGTGAACTTTGGGTGCTATTAAAGTTAACCGGTAACTTTCGGTGCTATAAAACCAAAAACGTGATCTTTCGATGCTATATAACCAATTTTGCCAATTTAATTTGTTTGTCGGGAAGCATATCTGCTTCAGATATCCGCCATGTCTGCTCCAGATATCCGCACGATCAAAGGCTAGTCGGCCAACTCTGCCATGAAAGATGCACATCAGAAATATTTGAAGGTTGGAGCAAAGAGCCCAATGGGCCACTAACCAAGGTGATCTTGAACTTTTTTATATACTTCATTTCTTTGTGGAATTTGCGATGAATTTGCAAGCTCCGCTTCTTTTTTTTATATATTTTTAATTGAATGGGCAAGGTTAGATATATTATATTATAGATAATTAAAGTTTTGACAGAGCAGAACTGCAGAAGTCAATAGAAGTACTCTCATTTTTTATAAAAAAGAATAGAGTAAATAAAATAACAGAAGGTATATATAGCACAAACTCCTCAACACAACAACACGAGAGAATTGAAGGCACCTCAACGATGCACCTAAACATTTTTTTTTATTTATCTCATACGTGCCATTTCACAATGTTATTGTGAGTTCAATGTTGCATTTTTTTTATAAGTTTATATTCCCCTACCTTATGAGTTATGACCATAATCATAATTGAGAGACCTCCACATCCATATAAAAATTCCACCAGTAAAAGTTATTAATTATACAAAAAAAATTTAAGGGACGTGCAGAATTGCCAAAATCAACGAAATTTTTTTATACAATGAGGGACAAAAAATTACCCTTCTCTTTCTGATAAACCAAAACGAATAAAAAAACTTTCATTCTACCAGTCGAGCACTATTCTTGATTTCTTTCCAATTTAGTTGAAACTCATTCAGAAATCTCAATAGTCTAATTCCTTCAACTTTTGCCAAAATTTTCTAAAGACTCTACCAATTTCTAGCATTTGCTTTAGGACATTATTATGATAGTTTGTACCTTTGCGTAGGACACTCTAGTTGCGTGGTTTTTATTCAAAGAAACTTCAAACATTATGTTAATATATAATGTTCCAATGGAGAAATAAAACTCGTCAAAAAAACAATTTTACCATTGGGCCACCTTCCAAACTTTAAATTGGTACATATTTTTGCCAAATTTTAATATATGTTGTAAATTTAAAATTTGTCCTAAATTATGGAATTCAAATACATTAAATCTTTTCAAAAAAGGAATATTAATATTGCCTGGATTTAAAAAATATTTATTGAAATATTTTGTTTTTTGTATTTTTGGATAACTTAATTTTTTGACAAGTTTAAAATCAGCTAAAATTTGTTCAAATTTGAATTATGCAAGGTGACAAAAAGCTAAAAATATCTTTTGTAAAGTTTAATCTCTCTACTAGAAAAGGACATATCACATATATATAATTAAATAACCGTTGGAACTATATTATCATATGACAGTCAGAAACTAAATTGTCGTATTACACAGTCAGAAACTAGAGTGTCCTAAAACAAGTGTTATAAATCTATGCAGTCCTATAGCAAAAATTTGTCTTAATCTTTTTTGCAAGACAATAGTCTTTTGTTAGTAAAGTTCCTGTGATTAGGTATTTTCAACCCTTTTGGCCGCCATAGTTTCGTTTCCTTTTTTCTGTCATGTATAAGACTCTGTTCTGTTCTGCTCTTTTGGCTTTGTTTAAAAGCCAGGCAATATAATTGCCTGCCGTAAAAAAAAAATATCGGCGTGGCGGCCAGCTCGGGGATATGATCATTAAAAAAAAAAAGAAATCAACTCACAGTATATCATTTTCCCGGGATTAACAAGTTCAAAAATCATGAAATTTTTAATCCGGAGGTTAATATTTCCCGGGAAAAACTCAGGTTAAAAAGTTGAAAACTCGAGACACGCACTGAATTTCTCTTCTCCTCTTCTTGTTTTTCCTTTTGAATAGGAAACAAATGAATCTCTGTTGGATTTACTGCAAAGCCAGTAAGCTTCTACACCGGCCGCACCACCACAGTGACAACGACATCCGTGCTGGTTAGAGCCAAAGAAATTTATCAACGCGAACCACATGTATGGAATCAGATAATGGATGTCGACGCATTATACTGCTGGAATATATTTAAGGAAAAAGTACGAATTACCCCTTGATCTATCATGGTCGTCCGAATTACCCCCTAACCACAAAACCGGATATTCTTCACCTCGAACTTTTAATACCGGACGAATTAACTCTTTGACCCAAATCAGAGCGGATTTATCCTATGTGGCATACACGTGACAGTCCAATCAGCATTTTTTTAAAAAAAAAAATTGGTGGGGTCCACCTGTCAAGCCTCCACTTCACCTCTTCCTAATTTCTCTCTCCGTTCTCTCTCACTGGTGCATGCGGGCGCAACAACCGCGCAAGTATGGAGCGGTGGGCGGACGACGGCGGCGCTCAGGGGCGGGCGGCGGACGGTGGCGAGTGCGGGCAGCGCCGGAGCCGCGGACGACGGCGGCGCGTGGGGGCGCGCGGCGGACGGCAGCAAGTGGGGGCGTCGCAAGTGCGCACGGCGACGCGGGGCCGCGGACGATGGTGGCAAGTGGGGGCGACGCAAGTGCGCACGGCGGCGTGGAGCCGCGGATGACAGCGGCGCGTGGGGCGTGCGGCGGACGGCGGCGCGCGGGGGCCGTCGGGGTCCCGCATCATCTTTCCAGATCCGCGCGGCCTCCACCCCCGTCCGCCGCCTGTCCCGCGCGAACATGCTCGCTGGCCCAGCCTTCTCCCTCGTGCGCTGTCGCCGCCGCCGGTGCCCCCTCGTGCGAGCGCGGGAAGAAAGCGACGCCGCCGTGTGCCTCCTCGTGCGCACGCGGCACCGTCGGCCCCAACTAGTCTGCCCCCGGCCATCGCCGTCCTCGGTCCCCCTACGCTGCCCCTGGTGCTCAAGCACTGAAGCAGCTCCTCGCCGAGGCCCATACCGCGCTCCACCGCTGCGACGCGACCTGCCTCGCCTCCTCATTGCGTGACCTCTCCTCTTCCGCCGCAGCGACGTCCGACTCCGGCGAGGCCGCGCTACCGCCGCCGCCTCCGCGTCACCCTCATCCCCCACCGCCGCCGCCTCAGCGTCACCCGCCGGCTGCCGCCGCCGCAGCTCCGTGTCCACCGCCTCCCGCCCGTGAGAGAGAGGAAGAGTATGACATGTAGGTCCCATTATTTTTTTAATGAATAGAATGCTAACTCAGCTCCACGTAAACCAAAACCACCGCGGATTGGGTCGAGGGGGGTAATTCGTCCAGTTTGTATAGTTGGGTGTGAAGAATGTCCGGTTTTGTGGTTCAGGGGGTAATTCAGACGACTGTAATAGTTTGGGGGGGGAGAATTCATACTTTTTCCTATATTTATCTTTGGCCTTAATCTTGCTTCTCTTCTTTTTCACGATCTGCATATGACGCGTGGTGCGCCATATATAAATTCATATTGACAACTTGCGTGAGATGGTTGTCCTGCACTCGTGGTGGATTTTTTCACAAGTCACGAATTCACAACTCAGCCTTCGATATACTCAATTTTGTTTTTAATTAAAATGTTCGTACAGTACACGACGATTCCCACCTTGAGCTCCGCCGCTCGAGAAGCATTTCTGTACGGCTACCGCTTTGATATATCATATAACACGTTACTATAAATTCAGACATATTCCGAGGGAGAATGTTCGTACCCGATGAAATTTTTTATAAGAGTGCCCCCATGAATTAATCATTTACTGTACAATACCTTGTTTTGCATGATATATTAATAATATCCTAGGTTTATATCTTGGACTAGCGATCTCTAATACCGATTTTCGGGTCCAAACCCTGGTCTTTGATTGGTCCACGTGGCGCAGCGAGAATTCAGGTTGCCTCTCCTGAAATCGTGCCACGTGACGTCCCTTCCTTCGGCGGCTTTGCCCGCTTGCTCCCCCTTTCGCGGCCCCGCCTCTCCCCAATCCCCACCTAATAAAAGAGAGGAAAGAAAAAAAAAAAGAAAATAGTTCGCACTCTGCCCTCTCTCCACGGGCCTCGCCGCCGCCGCCGCTTCGCATCCTCTCGTCGTCACAGGCTCGCAGCCGCCACCTCCTCCGCTTAGTGGCCGCCTCTCCCCCTACCCCCACCTCTCCTCTCGTCCTCGTTGCCGCCTCTCCCATGACGTCCCCAGTGAGAGCAGGGCGAGGCCCTCTCCTCGCACGCGCCGGCGACCCTCCATCTCCTCCTCATCGTCGCTTGATGGGGGCGAGGAGCTCGGTGACGGCGCGCAGGGACTTGGGGAGCAGCACGCCGGCAGCGACGAGATCCGACGAAGACAATGCCTCTCCCCTCTCAAGCTCGGGGCAGCATGGCGACGGGGCTCCTCGAGCGGCTGCGGCTCAAATCCGGCCCGCCGCCGTCCCCTCCTCCTGGTTGCTGGATTGGGGGAGGAGCTCGATGGTGGCAAGCCGAGGGGATTCGTGTCCGCCGCACAGCCCCACCACGCCGTCTCGGCCTCCACATCGCACGGAGCCGCCGCACGGCCTCGTCCTCGCCGTCGCCCGGCCGCGACGCCCACGGCCGGCCGCAGCGTCGTTTATTGCTGTACCACTTTGAATGACACCACCGGATTTGGACTGCAAATCCACCTCGCCATCACAGGCATACTACCTCTACCTGCCATGTGGATTTTGATGCAGGGGCAAGATACCATGGATCTTGGGGAGATTTAAGCTCTTTAATTGCTACGTATTGCATTTGTTCAGTAGGATCTTCCTTACCGTGGATCTTGCATGAAATTTGCTGGTAGGAATGCACATCTTAATTAACAGATTGTGTTGTTTATTAGTTTGGGTAATGGTCAAAGATTAAGGGAAAAAATTGAGCATAGAAGAGAGAGTTTTACAAGTTTTCGTATATTACATTTTAGGGAGTCACAATATAGTTAATTTTAGGTAGGAGGAATCAAGAAAGTGTCATGTGGTTTAAAATAGAAAATTGCATCCTTGTAGAGAAGTGTCTGTGGAATTAGTTAAAAACATACACTTAGTCTAGCTGAGTGGTTTTTGTTACTGGTTCTTGCTTCTGGGGTATGCAGATTAGTGTTGGTTAGATGATATGTGAAACAAATACTTCATTTTCCGTGTTCTCAGGAGTTCATTTGCTGGCTTGGACAGACTATCTGAATATTTGCTAAGTTTCACTTTTGGAAGCCAATAATTTTTTTCTTCATTGTATGAACAACTAAAACTGAATAAGCAGTTGGAAGTAATCAGATTGTTGTTGGCTGGTGAATGTGATTTGTAGTTCATGAAAATATATAGCATATCCATCCAAATATATCTGACAGCAGGACTATGAATTGTGCTAACAAGTAGAAAAAGAGAGTTTTTATTTGTTGTTGCATACTTATCATGTCAAATATCAGGTTTTTATTTGTTGTAATTGCTTACTGATCATGTCAAACTTCTTGTTTTTTTTCCATGTAATAATGAGAATGGAAGGAGATGAGTATTTCACTAGCTTGATGAATGATGACAGCACTGCACTGAGTCGGGAACTTGGGGTTCTCTGAATAGCCAGACAAAATTGCAGCCTTTGCTGATCGTCGAAAGTACTCTGTCAATGGTTGTCATGGCTGGGTAGCAGCAATCTTGTATTATCTTAATACTAACTGGTTGCACTTGCAAATATCTTCAGAGATGAGCTAGGAAGCACTATCATGTAGATGGTATATATGTATATTTTCTGCTTTTATTTGTTTACAGAACACCTGTTTATTTCGCTATTAGTTCAGAGAACTGTTAACACATTTCCGTGCGCATTTGTAATGATCCAGGGTGATAGGAGGACCGGAGGAGGCTTGCATTCATATTATCAACTATTGGGATGAATCTGAGATATGTTTCTCAAGCTTCAAAATGATAATATAACGACATTAGTTAAACTGGTCTTTAGCAATGTATGAATCTATCTAAAGGCTACATAATTCAGTTTTTTGTATGGAGGGAGTTTTAGAATCCATTTCAGTGTGATAATTCTCTCTTGTACCTTTCTTTTATGCATATATTCAGATTATTTGTAATATGATGTTTACTACCGTGAATATTGAGTATTGGACTCAATGTTCAATGGAAACCCATTTTTCATGTTATATATTCACTCGCGCGTAGAAAAGCCACGCGTGTTTTCTAGTAATATCCTAGTTAGATATATGACATTGAAATGTTCTCGACAAAAAAAATTTGCTACTTACAATATTTGCCTTTATAAAATATCATATTGATATATGCCACTCCAGTATATGTATATATGTATTGTTTATTTTTGAAATAGGAAAATGTCTGATTTACTTCCAAAACTATATTTATGTTCATCTAATTTATTCCCTCAAACCACAAATATAATATAGACCACACCCTAAGTTGTTGAAACAGAATAAATTGTTCCACCAGTTAAGTAGAAACAAAATTTGTGGTTTTATGTGCCATCATATATGGTGGTGGCTTGCACATAAAGTAGGGAGGCCCACCTATCAGACCTACCTCTTTTTTCTTCATCTGTTTCTTTCTGGGAACGTATCCTCTTTCTGTCTAGCTTCCCCTTACTTCCTAGATGCCTATGCTTTGTTCTCCATCCCCTCACTTCTCAATGTTCTCCCCTCCAAGCTTTGACTTTTCTGTACCTTCTGTTTAGTGTAGAGTCCCACATTAGTGTAGAAACCATGGATTTGCACATGTAGGACCAAATTCATCTTGATCAATGGGGTAATTTGTCTCATTTAAAAAGCTCAGAGTGTGTTTTATGTACTAATATAGTTTAGTGGTATAAATCATATGTACAGTCATTCATAGGTAAATCATAATATTTTTCTTTCAGTTACCACTGTGAATTTCATGACCACGATGACCCCACTAGTCGATATCCTCTGCTATTGTGTCGTCATATAGCACCAACAGATTGATGATGAATGAAAAGGTTCAGTGAGCGGTGTGCTAGCAAGCATACCACTGGTGATGGTGCAGGTTGAGTTACACATCCAAATCTATCAATCCATTTGGTAACTTCCACCACGCCCTACAAGAGATCCAATTGGCACTATATTTCTTCTTGATCTCCATTACATCCTATCACTTGCTTTGATTCTAGGGACAACTTTAAAGGGGTGAAGAGAATACGGAGGGTATATGCGCTGCATGTTAGAATTTAGAATCATTCACCATACAGATTTTCATCAATTTTTTTATGGAGATTTAGCAATAGAGACTTGACCTTTCAACATTGAATTGCTTATTTTCCTTTTGATCAGTGTCATTGTATCGTTTTTTCGTTCACCTTTGTTCTATTCTGTAGCACTTAGATTTTGAGCTCAGAACTTTATAATAAGTGGTCGTACGTACCTTACTACGAAGCAAAAATCGAGTTTTTATATGCCCATTATAAAAGAAAATCACATCCCCGTCTCTCAACCTCCACCATGCCCTGTGCTTTTGATCATGAAAGTGTTGTCATCCTTCACTACGGCAAAGTAATGGTAAAGCAGCATATAACAACCCAAAACTAAAAAAAAAAAAAAGACAAGACAGGACAAGTAAAAAGCAGATGCATGTTATATCCACTCTCTCAAAATCAGAAAAGATACCCTACTTCCTACATTCTGTTAGTGGTACCGTAGGATTGCGGCTTGCCAAAGTGAGGAAGTTATCATGAGTTAGGAGTTAGGTTTTGCAGCCTCATGGTAAATGTGTTCTGTTGTTAATTTAAAAGCTGGTATCTTTTTGAAAATTAAGATTTTTGTCCACATATCTGCCCTAAAACCTAGGAGTGGTGGGATATACTCCCACATCGTTTTTTCTACACATATTATTTTTATATTATTAAGGGATTAGCTATTGGGCTGTCGACAGTTTTTAAGGTCAAAACTTTCAATTTTTTTCACCTCAAGATATGTAATCAACGGACCACAGGAAACGGGTCTGAACCAACTGAAAGCACGAAACCAATCCGTTTAGAACGTGTGGGCCCATTAAGAAACCCTGAATAACTAGGCACACTGTAACTAAATGTAACTGTAACTGAGCTATAACTACTCTGTAACTAGGTTATAACTGGACTGTAACTAGTGTGTAACTAGGGTGTAACTGGACTATAACTAGTGTGTAACTAGGTTGTAACTGGACTGTAACTAGACTATAACTAACTTATAAGCTCTATTTAACTGGAATATAATTAAACATTTTTATGTAACTAAATGGAAAAACATCAACGATGGAATTTATGTAACTAAATGGAAAAACATTGACGCCTCCATCCTCAAGATGAACAACAATACATGTGTGCGAAAATCAACGAATCGATTCCCCTAGAAATCTAGGAGAAGAACACCAACCAAACATACAAACGATTTATAGGGCAAACATGATGCAGGATCTGAACACAAAACATCACATGAATGCACCAAAAAGTGGAAAAATCACATGAAATTTTGAGTAGAGAGCATGAGGCAGAGAAGATCGCTGCGACCGCGAGGAACACGAGCAGCTGAAGGGGAAAAATCGGTGAGGAAGCGGGCAGCAAGAAACCCACCGGCCGGCGGCGAAAAAAATCGCCGAGAGCTGCATCTGGCGGGGTCTCCGCCTCCGCCTAGGCCACCTCGCCTCCAAGAAATTTCTGGAAAAAGGCAACGTGCAGCTATACACGCCAACGGGTAGCACATCTATTGGTCATCAGGTTTGGATCCAATAGAAAAAAAATCTCGCACGAATCATGGCGCTAGATCGAACGGCTATAAAATCGAATGTTTCTAGCCTCCAAAACTGTGGACAGCTAGCTAGCAAAACCGTATTATTAATTAGTAGGAGTACCTATGAGATAAGAATTAGGTTACCATAAAGTAGAAGGTGAGAAATTAAACCATAACATAAGCAGCCGTGACTATTTATCTGCTCTTTTCGTTTTGACTTAAGTTCTCGTAGATGATTCTTTTCCGACTGTCCCGAAGCAACAACTCTTATAGATAGACAGAAAACCATGTAAACAGAAGCGCTAATAACATACTTCCTCTATACTAAGATATAAGGGATTTTACACATTGATCCAAATTCTCTAATATTATTGACTGCACCGGCCATCCCGGCCGTTTCCTACAACCCAATATGCTTTTTTTTAGATAATAGAATTAAATCTTGGCGTTTGCTCAAAGAGTTACAGCCAATTATTACACTAGTTCAACCAAACTCAAACTAACAAAACAAAGACATAAAAACACACTCCTCACAAAACAGGAGCACACACAAAGTTCTAAAAACACACTCCTTTCAAAATAGGAGCACACACAAAAATTTAAAACTCCAACCTAAAAGAAGAACATATGATTATTGAATTATATTTGTGAATCTCCAACCAAAGTTGGCGAAAAGCTGCATAACCGTTGACTCAAGATTACGATATGCAACTTTTACTAGCTTGATATCATCATCACACTTTAATAGTTGAGCCCATGACCGAAGCTAATATGTTGCCATGAAAAGAACTTGCATATAAGATATAGAAGGTGACTTGCCAAAAACCATATCATTTCTACACAACCATATGACCCAACAAATAACGGATTCTCCAACAAGAATAAGTTACTAGTTTTTTTATCCACTCCCACAAGCCAATTCTCAAAAATATGAGATATATTATGTGGAGTATATAAACCAGAATAAAACTATAAAGCTCTCCAAAGAAATTTTGCATGACACTCAAAAATAAATGTTGAATAGTCTCATTTTTTATGCGAAAGCAACATTTCATACTACCATGCCAGTTCCTCTTAGCCAAATTGTCCTTTGTCAAAACAACCCCTTTAAGTAGGTAACACATAAAATCTTAATCTTAAGTGGCATATTAAGTTTCCATATGAATTTATTCTTCTCAACATAACCATTATTAATTAAAGCTAAAAACATAGAAAGCATCAAGAATTGACCATTTTGATGAAAATTCCATCTAAAAATATCATTCTCCCCAATCAAATGAATATGAACCAATACTGTAAAGACTAGCAGCTCTTTTTACATGTCTACAGTGCCCTTATACATGCTTGAGGTTTTTGACTCAATGCAATCATTGTTTGAAGATATAATTTGTAAATTAACTAAAAACGTAAGATCAAATAATTTGACAGATTACACCTGCTTCTGCTATCCTAGAGACTAAATAATGAAAATAGTCTGGTACAAAATTATGTTTGGGTCTATAACCCAAATTATAAGGCTCCCATCCCTACAGCTTATAGCCACCATCAAAATTTCAATTAATTTAATTTTGAAATTGATTGTAAGTTTTTTTCTCATAGTTTTGCTTTCTAGTACTTTAAAATAGCTAAGAACACATTATAAAGATTTTACTTATAATTTTTTACTAATAAACCGTATGACTTGTAATTAACATTAGGACAACCGATGGCACCATAAGTATTATAGTCACTCACTCATACATCATGTCTCTGCAATTTTATACCCTCTTTAATCGAGTACACTTATTTACGAAGATGTAACGTGTAAATTAACTCTACCACGTTAATCCCATCTCGAAGGCTCTACGACTCTTCGAGCATCATTACTATCTATTTCATAAATTATTACCTCTTGATTACATCATGGATCTTAAGTCTCACTTTGTCTCATTAATTAGCATAAAATCCTATGACAAAGAGAAATGTGCCAGTGATAATATCGGAAGGACGATGAGGTTCCACGTTGGAAGACCTAAATTCCTAAAATGCATGTTTGCTGAAATAAATATTTGTATCCTTAGTTTCAAACCATGGATGTATAAGCTGACGCCGTCAAATATGCAAATAAATACTATTCCCTCTGTTCAGACTATAAGTCGTTTTAATTTTGATTAAAGTAAAACTGTTTTAAATTTGATCAAGTTTTTAGAAAAAGTAGCACTTCCCCCGTTTCGTATTATAAGACTTTCTAGCATTGTCTATATTCATATAGATGTTAATAAATATATATACAGACTACTATATATATATATTTATTAACATCTATATGAATGTGGATGTACAGACTACTATATATATATTTATTAACATCTATATGAATGTGGACAATGCTAGAAAGTCTTATAATATGAAATGGAGGGAGTAATATTTTTAACCTAAGACTAATATATTATGAAAATATATTTAATTATAGATGTAGTTACCTAATTTGGTCTTGTAAATATTATTATTATATTATATTTATATACAAACTTAGTTAAATTTGAAAGAGTTTGACTTTAACCAAAGTCAAAATGACTTATAATCTGAAACGGATAGAACAGTTATTTTGATTCATTGGTCGTTTTAGGCACAAAATTATACACCTGTATTTCCATTGCCAGGAGTCCCACACTCCCACTTCCCAAGTGCTGCCGATGAGACCCGATTCATCAGAAAGTAGAAATTCGGTACTTCCGATTTGGTACACGTAGCAAGTTAACACACCCAACGCGGCACGACGACGCTTCCACGCAACAAGGCCCCTCCTCGCCCACGCGTGCGCCCCTCGCCCACCACTCGGACTCGGACCGCATTATTATTACTTCATTTATTAATATCATCCACCAAAATCAACTGCCGCCGAAACCTCCCACCCAAAAAAAAAAAAAAAACGAGAGAGAGAGAGAAAAAAAAGGCGAATAATTCCGCTGTTGCTTCGCTGCCTTTTGCCTTCTTCCTCCTCCTCTCCACCACCACCGCCACCGGCCGACGCATCTCCGATTCGATTTCGCCTTCCCACGAATCTATCTCCCCCCGAGTCCCCAGCGAGATGGCCACGTCGTTCGACCGCTGGGAGAAGGACCCCTTCTTCCCGGCCGCCGAGGAGGTGCAGGAGTCCGCCGACCGGTGCGCCGCCTCCTTCCTCTTCTTGCCTTTCCTTCGGTGCGCCTCCGGTTTCTGATTCTGGTGTTCTTTTTGGAGTTTTGAGGGTTTGGGTTTTTTGCTCGTGTAGGATGGAGTCGGTGTACAGGAGGTGGTTGCAGGAGAGGAAAGAAGTAGGTGGCGGCGCGGTGGAGACGGCGGCGGAACGTGGTGGTGGTGGATGGGGGCGAGCCGCTGGGGATCTCCGCCGCGAGCTGCACACGGCGCTCGGCACCGCCAAGTGGCAGGTTTGAGCTGGGCTACATCCGATTTAATACTAGGTGGCTGGTGAAACGATGGGATTTTGGTTTGACTCGTTTTAGGTTTCTTGGATTGCTTGGGATGAGGGGGATTGCGCGGAAGAATTGGAAAGATTCGAAGTAGTTTGGTTTAGGAATTAGGATGTGAGAATAAACCAAAGTATAGTTTGTCCGTCTTCTAAGCTTAAGGTTCCAGTTATTCTTGAAAAAAGTACTAAAGCTTTGACTTTGATGCATGTGCTTCGTTGCTTTCTACCTTTTTGGTTCTTCTATTAGAGCATTTGTTCATAACGATGGCTTGCTTTTCGTTGACAAGATGGACTATGCGTTGATTTGTTTAGACTTCAGATATGGGCTTGACACCAATTCGGTATGCCATGGCATCCCTGTCGTACTTGAAAGCTTGCTTTTGGTACTTATGCATAAGTAGAAAACGGACAATCGGGTCTTTTCTTTCTTGCAAATAAAGGTGTCATTTTACTTGTGAAATTTTCTGCTAAAGGGGAACACCTAGTACCAGTAACAAACCATTGATTTGAGATGACCTATGAAAATATGAGGTCTGAATTTTAGTGCTGATTGTGGTTTTGTTTTCTTTTGTCAGCTTGATGAGTTGCAGCGGGCTATTAAATCAAATTATAGTGTTGTGTTAGCTGGCAAAGATACTAGAGCTCGGCATGATGACTTTGTTTCAGCCATTGGGCATCGTATCCTAGAGGTGGAGAAGTTCTTGAAAGAATCCAATACTACTGAAGGGCGTGGCCCTCTTAGCTGGGTTCGCTTGGATGAGGGTGAACGTGAAGAGTTAGCTCATTTCCTTTCAGCAGGAACTTATCAAAAACGTGATGAGGTGGTTACAATTACATCTGCTGGTGACATTGAGGTTGGTAGCAATGCAAGAAGGGTGAAAAAGGGTGTTTCAATTGATAGTTCGAATGATTCTTCGGGCTCAGCAGAGTCAGGTTTAGTGTCAACTAAGGAGGAGACAGCTCCAGGTCATAGGAGAACGGCAAGTGCCTATGCTGATATTGGATCATGGACTATTACAATTCCTGATGAGGCCAATGGCATCGATGAACAATCATTTGATGATCTGCCCAAGGTACCTTTGGTTAAGAGCCCTAGCTCTTCTGTATTAATGAATGCCTTCCAATCAAAGACAAGAATGAAGACAAAGAATGGAGCCAAGAAGTTGGCTGGAGCTGACCAACAGGATGTTGTGGAAACTCTTCCTCTGACAAATTCTCGCTCGTGCCAGGTGTGGGAAAAAAAATCTGAATTGCATTTTTCTTTTCCAACGCATTATTTGTATACTATTAATTACGTACATAGCAATGTTCTAAGCCAATGTTGGCTTATTATTTTAGGGGTTTGATGGGTTGTTTCAAAGAAGCAAAAGTTGCTTGAGCACCTCTGATGATGAGGATAACTGCAATAAGAAACTTTATGGTTGCCTTGGTGCATTCCGTCGGCTACTTCAGAGGTCTCAGTATCAAGTTCAATATGGACGTCCTATTCAGTTACTTATCCTAGCAATTGTTGTTTTACTAGTCTGTAAGTTACTTTTCCTATTTCCTTCATAATGTTAATTTGATGGGACCTTTATCAAATAGAGGTGAAATACAGATTGTTTCAAGCGTCTGATTATACATTACAATGCCTTTACTTTGCTAGTATCTTTAACATATTGTATTGTTCATGGAATTTGCTAATCTAATGTTTTCGTAATTTAATTGGTCTGCTAGGGCTTGTCGCCATGGTGCTATATAACATAAGTTTTGTTTTGCACCAGATTGAATCTGTAATTGACAACACCTACTTATTAAGGACACGGATTTTGACATTTTGTTTCCATTATGTTGAATTTTGACCCATAAATTGTTATGCCATTAATTGATCACTTTTTCAATTTTATCTCATTTATATCTTATGTACTGTAGTATTTTTCTATCTGTCCCAAATGTTTCAGTTCCTAGTTCAACCAAGTATTTTGAGTTTGTTATATGATTGATGAGCTCATTGAACTCACTATGATTTGTTTTGTGTTTGTTTCAGTAATTTATGCCATGAAGGCAATTTTGTGACTTTTTTGATCAACTAGTGTCTCACGATTGACTTGCACTTCTTCATCAGCAGTCTGTAAGGTATGCTTATGATTTGTTTAATGTAATTTGCAAGACAATGACTGCTAATTAGATTTTTTACTGTGTTCAACTGATATTTTTTTTAACTTGCCAAATTTCTGCAGTTGTTTTTTGTATATGTTTTCTTAAGTTGATCTTTTTCTGCGCATAAAATATTCGGAAATTTCTAAACTCTTTGGATAAGAAAAACATGTTACTACTATATAGTAGGGCAATACGAAGCTAGGTGTACGCTTTGATAAATCTATAATTCAAAAATATGTTCATAGTGTTAGCCCTACTGAGTCCTTTGTGATGAAAGTTGCTTATACTTATCAGTCATATTGAGGAATTTCTAAGACTAGCACTGTTCAGCAGATTTATGAACATCTTTTCCTTATAATGCAGGTGTATGACAATTCATAGCTGATGAAACTAAAAGGGGAAGTGGTATTGTTTCTCTAGCTAGTTGAATGCCAGTGACAGTGAACACTGTTTTGTATGTTCGAAGGGATTCTATCATAACTCGCAAGATTGTCTTGGCTATGAAGAAACAACCTGACATGGGAAGCACAACATTTAGCAACCCAATATAGCAAAATCAGTGAAGGATTGATTGTATGGACCGGCAGATCATTTCGTGTGCCTTAAGCCCAGAGGAACTGAACAATCATCTTCATATACCAGTTTTGCTGATGCTGCATCTGCAACATTTTAAACAGTCTGGTGCAGTACTGCAGCCTTGTTAACCTGTGCAATTCAGCAGTACATAGAGCTAGAATGCTGATGCTACAACTGGCAAACAACAGTTTTGTGCACGCAGCTGTGGGGTTTGCCTGGATAATTGAGTGGCATCTCCATGTACTGTATTCCAATTACTGATGTCTCAAGTATAGTGCTAGGTGGCATGAACTTTGCGGAAGAATTTGAGTACCTATATTTTGATGCTATAGATTGGCTTGGAGAAGGCTGAAAATTCATCTATTAACACAAGTATCGCAAGAGCTGCAGGACTACAGGTCTTGCAGCCTGTACAGATGGTTGTGTTTTGTACACTAGAGGTGCAGTTTAGAAGAACAGAAAAATTCTTCTGTTCTTAGACATTGGAGTAACTTTTACCACACGATTGGCTTGTAACCTGTAAATAACTACTGCTTCAAATGAGCACCTGTTCTTACAAATTTGATAATGTTGGGTGTCGGTCTGCACTGCAACATCCAAAAAACCTTTGTAAGTAAGCACATGTCAACAGCTTGAAATTCAACATACTTCTGATAAAACGCACTGGTTCATGTTGCGTTAAATTCACATGGTTACCTAGTTCTCGGAAGAGCTACTATCCTGACACTAATGATGCAAAATGTGAACTGCATATTTCTCGGGAATGAAGATCACATCAGAATAATAAAATGACATAACAAATCGGCACGTTGAGCTCTGTGTTTTCAGATCACAAAAAGCTTCTTACAAGAAACATGCCGTTTTCAAAAAAAAAAAAATTGCAGAGCTTCACAACCACCCTCTTGCAGAACAAACTATCCCCTATTTTGTACAAACAATTCGACACCAAATTTCATTACACAGGCATTCATCAACTTGGTCGTAGTATAATTAGCTGCACTACGTTTTCTCCTGGCTGTTGCACCGAGTGATCTGGCTGACAAACAGCCCAAAATTATGTCTAAATACAAGCTGTGTCCTCATCTGGAGGCCATCGACCAGAAGTTCAAGACGCAGGACGGTGCAAGTGCAAACCAGCTGATGAAAGCCATCGCGGTTGCAGTTTCGAAACTTGCACAGTGATTGTTTGCGCATATGTTCAGGTCATTGCCAATGAGCACGGTGATGCCTGCTGATGCACATGCTGCACCTAGGGTTAGTGTCCCTGTGATCTACAAAAATCAATAACGTTGTTCAATAGGTATTCTATTTATGCAAAAAGTAAAAAAGGAATCTTAGCAAAAATGGCCCCTTATTTATAGAAAGATAAAACACTAACCCCATCTCCGATGGTAAATATACACACAGCCTGTGGATTCCGCAAAGAACGCTTCACAAGAAGTGCATAAATATCAACAACGGCTAGTGAAAGGCTCCACAAGCATTGCAAGATGGCTGCTGCAACAAGGTAACTGGACCAAAAATAGAACCACATTAGTAAATTTAGTGACTTACTGAAGAAAGCTTTGGATCTTTATGGTACCGAAGTATGTCACAATGAAGATAAATGAACATACTATTAAGACTAAACATGACCCCTGATGTTAAAAAACAGTTTCAACATGCTCCCTTCAGAAGCATGTAATGGTTTTATATTAGTTCATTATGATCAGTACATTATGAATTATGATAGCAAAGATGCTAAACAGAGTTCGCAATTTAAATAGCGAAATGCAACCAGCAAACAAGATGAAGTTAAAGTTAATGCATCAAGGAAAATGGCTTGACTGAATTGGAAAGGAGGCAAAAATAAATGCGAAATAACATGCACAATTTTGAGTTCCTCTTTCAGGTTGCCAAATTAAGTAAAAAAAGGCATACAACATTTAATCCCATAGAAAGATATCAACACTTTGTCCCTTTTTTCCTGGAAAAATAACACTTCTCAACATAAATCATAAGTAATCAAGCAACAATAATGGTTTCTTCTAGAATTAATTCCAATATCATCAATAGAGAGTCAACAAAAATCGTTGATTGTCATGCCAGGAACAAAAACCACAAGGGAATACCACAGAAAATCCACAACATAGGCACCTAGCATGGGGTGACAAAGAGTCTAACTTTGGGCATAACATGCATCGACAAGGAGTCAAACTTTGGTCGCTAGTGACAAATTTAAAGAGCCATATCAGTTGGATTATCCAATAGTTGGCGATTGTTTAGATTATCCCTGTTCTCATGTAGTTGTCATTTTCCCTCTAACTAAAGCATAACGGGATTAACGGCAAGTCTCAGGCCTGAACCTCTTATCATCTCCGCTGCCTCCAATCAGTGCCTGAGTGCCCACTGAAGGCGAAAATTGTTGTCTTGAACCACTAACCTCTAACATGCATGGTTGTAGTTTAGTTGACGTAAAGTTGGACAGTCACCACATATATCTCGATTATATGCCACCCAAATGCGCAGCAGAATAACATGAATGCACCTTACACATTAGAATTGATGCTCTAAGAAAAAGCTATTCTACAATGCTATTACAAGAGTAAATGTTAATTTGCTCGGCCAACAAGGGGCTCGCTTAAAGTTGATCGATAGGCAAGATAAACAAAAAAAAATCAGAACCAACATATCTTTGTGTGCATTCAGCTGAGGTAGTTTGACCTAAGCAGTGGGTTGTGGTAGAACTTACAAACGGTATTCTTAAGTTCCATTTCTTCATATAAACATGTTTTGTTCTCATGTTTCGTAAGTACTCCGTAATATATATATAAGACCAGGATGTAACTGAACAGAACAAATTAAGTGCAAAGTAGGCGACTAAATTTGTTGGACTAATTGAGCCGCGTGATTCGAGGGATCCGCCTAGCCAAGAACATGCTAAATTAGTAGTACTACCATTTCGGTTCCAAAGACCAAACTAACAACACACACCAATTTCAATCCTAAAAGGGCAAAGATTTGGTAGGAGAGGGGGACCAGACAAAGGGGGGTAAACAGAATCCAAGGAAGCTCGAGCGGGCGCACCAGAAGGCGGAGACGGAGGGGAAGTCGTCGGTGGAGGCCATGACGGCGAGCGCGGCGGCGGCGAAGAAGGCCTGCACGAGGCGGAGGCCGAGGCCGCCGGGCGTCCCGGGCGCCCCGGGGGGGTCCTTCATCCGCACCCCTCGTGGCTGCGCGTTCTCCCCGCCATGCGCCGCCGCTCCACCTCCTGCTCCAACCCCGGCCTCCACCGCCACCGCCGCCGCCGCCACCGCCAAAGCTGCCGGCGGCGGCGCCTCCACCGGGTGCACCACCGGCCGGCTCGCCCGCATCTGCTCCCCTCCCCCTCCTCGTCGATCCAAGATCCCCTCGGCGCGGCGGGCGGAGAGGATTAGTAGCGCCTCCTCCTCCTCCTCAGCGGCATCCGATCTCGCCGAGGCGAGGTGCGAATCGGAGGAGATTTAGAGGAGGAGGGCGTACGGCCGGCGTCTCTCTCTCTCTCTCTCTCCTTCTCTCCTCTTCTTTGGCTTCCCATGGAAGGGAGGATGAGGAAGAGTTGGTCACTACAGTGGCTGGACAGTGGGGCCCACAGGTGGGATTGTGGAGAGTGGGCCCCACCTGTCAGTAACTCAATGGGGGATGGCTTTTTCTTTTTTTTTACTAAATGGGTTTGGTCGTTTGGAGAACGGTTTGGTGAAGCAAAACAGCGGATTGTCTATTCAGGTTGAGAAACTTTGAGAGAGGGAGAGAAATAGAAATTGCATTCAACATCTAGAGGATCATAACGATTCCTTCAATCTTTTGAAAAAAATGAAACTCTATTTAGTTTATCTCAATGTCTATACTGGTAAAGTCTAACTAAATTTTTAGTTGGGATAAGATGGTTCTACTTTATTATAAATCTTTTATAGTTTATATGGAGGTTCACAATTTCCTAGTGAACATATTCTGGTGTATGGACACTAATTTATTTGCATGACTATGTTAGAATAATTTGCAAGTGATCTATAACAGTGTACTTTGGTGACTAGGGATTTATCTTTGTGGGTGTGTGGATATAATATACATATTTGGGATTTTTATGTAATCGAATAAAAAAACTATAGCATTCCGTTTGTGCTTAGAAAAGGTGTTTTGCAATTTGACATTCGGTAACGAATGAGGAGATGTTCGATAAAAAAGAGCGAGGAGATTATTGTATCTATTTAAATTTAAATTATAGGAGATTGTATCTATTTAAATTTAAATTATAGTTATCACAGGGTTATATCGAAAACAAATTAGTTACCATGGAACTTTCGCTTTTGAACTAAGTTATTATTTTCACAGGAAATTAAGGAGAGGAAATTCATTTTGGTGCATGTGGCCCATGACTTTTGAGGCTTTGGTGCACGTCAGCTCATCAACCGTAGCAACTAATTATGGATGAAGATCTTGCAGCTCTAAGGTACATCGTGTACTCGTGGTGCGTAATGTTTCGTCGTGATTTGTATATGCTCTTAATTACCATCTCCAAGATTATAGTCATCCCTTGGCTGGCAGTTGGCACGAAAGATGTGGATATCACATAAGCTACAAGCATTAATTAGGAGTAATCTGTGACACATTTGGCATCGTCGTCCTGGAACTAGCAGCTAAAATATTTCTCTCAGAAAATGATTTGAAGTAGAAAAAACACTACGTTTGCTTGATCAAAAAGTTTACCGCCACGTAACGAACTAACGATTAATTTCTTTTGAGAAAGTCAGTACATTAATTTGTTGATGATGTTGATGATTTTTTTATTGATTAGGAAAAAATGTTATAGAAAATTTATAGCATCTATATATAACACCAGATTAGTTATTATATGTAAAACCAAATATATATTTTGATAACATGTTTATTTTTATTAAAAATAATATTACGTTTTTCTATCTCTAAACTTGTTAAACTTAAACAAGTTTGATTGTAAAAAAGCCAAAGCGACTTATCTCTACTATTATAAAAATTGAAGATGTTTTTACCAATACTTTGGTAGGTCAATTGTATTTGAGTCGGTTTCAAAGTTCGTTCGCTTTTGAAAATATAGATACGTGTTTGAGTCCGTTTTTAATTTTTTTCGCTTTTAAAAATACATAAGGAGTCGTATAAGAAATCTCTTTTAAAAAAAACTCTCACGCTAACTTGGGATTCTTTTAGAAATACAGAAGGAGTCGTATAAGAAATACTTTTAAAAAACTCGCATGATAACTTGAGATGAGAGGGAGACACCTAACGGGAAACTGTTTTAACAACTCGAGTGGACGTCCAGCTATTTATTGCATATCATCTAAATGGTTATGAAAAAATTTAAAAAAATATGAACAAGATAGATCAATATATAATATATCAATCCACAAACATGCAAGTTAAAATTCAACTTCTACAAATTGTAACAAAAATAACAAACAAAACTCAAATTACTATATGTATATTTACAATTAAATTTGTTATTTTTGTTACAACTTGTAGAAGTTGAATTTGAACTTAAATGTTTGTGGAGTGATATATTACATATTGATCTATCTTGTCAATTTTTTTGAAAATTTTTCGTAACCATCTAGTTGACATCTAATAAACGGGAGGACGTCCACTTGAGTTATTAGAATCCATATCCGACTCCTAATTGCATCATAATTTTCTAAAAGTAATATCCAAACAAATTTCCACGGTAATTTTCACCCTATCTAAACTGTATAATAACAATAACAACAATAATAAAACTAAAATAGCCTTTACCCGTTACAACGTACGGGTATTTTTTTCATAAAACATACGAAAGAGTAGTAGTTTCTAACAACAAAACTTATACACCATCCTCTTACTATAAGCTTTGCACTAGTACACAAAACTCTCTGTTAGTGGTGGTTCGCGCTAACATGCAGCCAGCAACTAATGTCGAAGCTCATGCACACTTATTTTTCTAGAGGACTCTTAGTTACAGCTGCACCTAGCTTGAACACCGTTGGATCATCGATCCTCGCGATTCGCGAAATGACATATATAGATGGAAATACGATTGGAGCACATAGCTATAAGTCCAAACCTTGGGGCATTCACAATGTGCATCTAAAGTGGATAGTAAGAAATAAAATACTACTCCTACTACCAGGTTGTATACATTATGGGAGTAGTAAGTAGCTAATATCAGGTAATATGCTTACTACCTAGTCATAAGGAATAAACAAATGATTTCTCTCATCTTTCTCTCATGACTAGTGATTGTGGGGTCCAGCTTACTACCTACTTTTGTTATTTCACCATTATGGCTACAACAATAACTAATACCCACTGACGTAGGGCCCACCCTTATTCACAAAGTAGGTAGTAAACATTGGTGCATATCGTGTGGTAAAGAGCCTTCAGAAAATAATTTCTCTTTTTCAAGGCTCGACGACATAGGCTAGTTAAGAGCAGGTATTTTAAGAAGATAAATAAGGAGAGGGAAGAGGAGCGGGCTACAGATTTGTAGACAGCTGTAGCACGGACTCTAAAACACTGTGCGTGTATGACATGTGGGACCATATATTAATAATGTAGTATGTAACTATTATATGAATGAGCTATTAAATTGATTATAAATAAATTGAAGCTAGTAGTTTGCTATACTATTAAACTTGCTCGTAACATCTTGTAACACCATAGAGAAAAGAAACAATGAGCAACATGGGTTAAAAGTGTAACACCCCAAATATCTATACCATTTAGCTTCGTGAATTCCAGCTTAATTCCTAGTGAGTGAAAAGTAGTAATTCTGTAATTGTAGGGTCGAAATTAAGAATGCCTTTAAGCCGTATGGAATTGTAACAAGAGACAAAGGAAGCGGACGGCGAGGTAGGCGACGACGGCGAACAGGAACAGAATGGGGCGCACCGCCTTGCTCCGGCGACCCATCAGCCCGAGCGCGAACGGGTAGAGATGCACCACCACCCACACGTTGAACGCCACCGGGAGTGCCGCCGCCGCCGCCGCCGCCGCCGACGGAGCGTCCCACCACCACCACCGGCCACCACCACCCGCCGCCGCCATCGACGCCACGTTCACTGCCAGAGCCGCCGCCGTCGGCGCCATCAGCGCCGTCCACCTCACGGCGTACAGCTCCGCGTACTGCCTATCCTTACCGGCGACCGGCGTCGCCGACGACGCGAGATGCTTCGAGGTCAGCTTGAACGATATTTCCTTCCCCGTCGCGACCTTGAGCGCCACCTGCGCCACCGCGGCGAGGTACGCGCTCGTCGCGGACACCATCCAGAACTGCTCGTTCCGCCACCACTCACCCAGCGCGATCCCCGACCACCTCGTCTCCAGCACGGCCACCGCCGCGAGCGTCACCATCAGCGCCGCCAGGAACGCGACGTACGTCGGTGTCGGCGCGGCGTTCCAGCCGCCGCCGCCGGCGATGAGCGGGATCGCCGGGAAGAGGCAGTAGGCCATGAGGAAGAGCGACGTGAACGGGTACACCGTCGTGTTGAGGTAGGCGGCGCGCTGCAGCGGGTGGAGGCGGCGGCGGCCGCCGGCGAGGAGTGCGTTGTTGCGGGAGAAGAAGATCTCGAGGGAGCCCGCCGCCCAGCGGAGCACCTGGTGGAGGCGGTCGGCGAGGTTGATCGGCGCCGTGCCGCGGAACGCGTCGGGCGCGGCGGCGTAGTAGGCGGAGCGCCACCCTCGCCGGTGCATGCAGAAGCCCGTGGCCACGTCCTCCGTCACGGTGCCGTACACCCAGCCGACGTCCCTGCCCCACGCCGTCCCGTCCTCGTACGCGCACGACACGAGCGCACTCGCCTCGGCAATGGCGTCGCCGTCGTCGCGACTGTGACTCTGCTCCGCCCGAACGGAGGCTAGGAACGGCGCCGACTCGCCGAACTTGGCAGGGTCCGCGGCGACACCGCCGCCGGGCGATCTCCAGCGCGGTGGGTCGACGCCGTAGAGCGCGACGCGGCGGAACAAGCAGCCGGTGCCGACGTAGATGGGGCCCTGGAGGCCGTCGAGGCCAAGCTCGGTACAGTCGAAGAAGACGCGGTTGTGGTTGGCGTAGCGGTCGCCGGGATCGACGCCGTCGAACCGCTGCGGGAACTGGACGAACGCGACATCGCCGGCGTCTTCGGCGCCGCCGCCGCGGCGTTCGATCATGAAGCAAATGCCGGCGCGGAGGGCCTGCGAGTTGTTGACATAGTGGTCGCAGTCGAGGTTGAGGATGAAGGGCGCGTTCGAGAGCACGGCGGATGCGCGCAGCAGCGCGTTCATGGCGCCGGCCTTCCGGTGGTGTGCGCGGCCGCGGCGCTTCTCGCGGCACACGTACACAAGCGCCGGGAGGCGCACGTCGACGGAGGCGAGGTCGATGAGCTTGCTCCCGTCCGCGACGCCGAGCTGTGGCGCGCTCCCAGCAGAATCGATCAGTACCTGCACAACTCCGGCGTGGTCATCGGCCGCGCCGCAGCGCCGGCGGCGCGCGTCGGCGGCCTGCAGCGCGTCGATCCGCAGCCGCATCTCCTCGTACTCGCGGCGCACCCGCCTCCTGTCGCGCACCAGCTCCGGCCACGCCCTCCCCTTGTAGCTCCCCCTCGCCACCACCCTCGCCTTGCCGCCACCACCGCCACCCTCGCCGCCGTTGAAGTACGCCTCCGGGTTCCTCGGCTCGACGCCGTGCTTCCGGCAGAAGGGCACCCACAGTGCCGCGAACCGGGCCGCCTCCACGACCGCCCCGCGTGTCACCTCCGCGCCGGCGTCGTCGGAGACGTAGCACGTCACCTTGCCGGCGGGGTAGCCCGCGGCGAGGATGGACAGCACGGTGTTCGCCGTGGCGAGCGGCGGCTCCTTGTCGGGGTCGGCGGTGGTGACGAACACGTCCATCGCCGGGAGCAGCGTGTCGTCGTTCAGCGCCGTGACGTCGACGGCGCGCCGGACGGGCATCGTCTTGGGCAGCTGGTCGAGCACCCACATGAACGCGAACCAGAGCTCGCCGGCGATGGACGCCGTCCAAAATGTCGCCGCCTTGCTCATGCCGATGCCGCCGGCGTCGGTGGAGCTGATGGCGCGAGCAGCGTAGGTGATTCTCCACTTGAAGAAGAGCACGAAGATGGCGATGCGAACAAAGATGGTGAGCCTACAAGTGCATTGTCAATAGATGTGATTACGGTGAGTTCGTACTCCAAGTTCGGAACTGATCATTTCTTCTGCATGAAAACGATGTACTTCCTCCGTTTCACAATGTAAAACTTTTTATCATTGTCCATATTCATTTAAATGTTAATGAATCTAGACATATGTATGTGTGTAGATTTATTAACATCTATATATGTGTGGGCAATGCTAGAAAGACTTACATTGTAAAACGGAGGGAGTAGCTAATTAGACTATGATTAATTAAATATTAGTTTATTTTTTTAAAAATAATAGATTAAAATTATTTGTTAAATAGACAATCGTATTGAAAACTTTTATAAAAGAAGCACAATTTAACAATTCAAAAATTCGAAAAGAGTTTGCTCAAGAAAAAGAGAGTAGGAGTTGGGAAATAGAAGTATGAAACATAGCCTTAGGGCATCCTCAATGCTTTATATTTAATAGAGCAACAAGATGAAACCCACGTTTCTATATTCTTTAGTTTATAATGCATATTACAATGTATATGGTCTCTTCATAACTATAAGATGGGCCCACTAAGAAAAAAAAACCTTCATCCACTCAGAATTGAAGTGTACATGCATGCTACAAAGCCTTATTTTTTTTTAATTCTTATGGTCTAGCTTTAAGCTTAAGGTTACCCTTAGCACTATTCTCTTCTTAGCTCATCTCCCAATGTATAAAAGTATAACAAAAATTACTACTTTATTTGATAAGATTAGTTTTCATGTACACTGTGGTTGCCCTTAGTCCGTCAGTGACCCGCTCATTGATCTGAAATGCAAGGATCCAACATTTGTCAAAACTCCCAGAATTGGAGTTGCCATCAATTTTTAATAGCAGTGCACTTTGCCTCCCTGAGACATTTTAACTTGCATGACATTATAATTAGAAAAAAAAAGCAAAGAATACAGTGGGTCCCACATGTTAGTAACATAGGGGATCCATTCTTCTTTTTTTTTCTCTGTCAAGCATGTCTAGAAACACTTTGCGTGCAACAAGAACACATCATCGAGGTGAGGGAATCAACAGCAACAAGTTGTTTAGGCTTAACTCTGTCATTCGGTCGGTGAGCGGCGGGGGAAAGGAGGGCACCTGCACTGTGGTAGAGAGAGAGGGGTGGCCGGTGGCAGCGAATTAGATGATGGTGTCGGGCAGGCGTATAGCGCGATGGTGACTCGATTGAATCCAGTGAGGGCAAAATGTCGTGGAAGTAGATTGTGGCCGCATGAATCCAACAGGGAAGACAGTGATTGTGGAGGTGCTCTTGTTGGTGCAAAACGCGACGGTAAGAAGCAAACAGTTGTACATGAGAGGAAGCTCAAGTTCATGGTGAACCACTACATTGATCACCGCCATTATGGAGGGTAACGGACACAAGCTAGGAGGAACAAGTTGTGACACAGTAGGTTTTACGAGAAAACTCACTACAGAGAGATCGACGAGGGTGGAGCATGGGATGGCATCAATGGCGGCAACAATAGTTTTCAACGTTTGTGGCCGCGGGAGGACGAGGATGGTTGCAGAAGAAGAAGAAGAAGCCTGCGTATTGACTAATATTCGTCTTTAGAATGAAAGTAGCTATGAAGCCCAATCTACTCTCGATTCAAGAGAGGGCATAGTCGTATGGGTAGGGTGTTTGTGGGGAGCTGCCTTGGATATGAGGAATTCCTCAAATCTAAAAAAAAAATAGAACAAAGGCAATGTCCGTGACGAAGATCTTTCTTTTCTATCAATAGATAGAAATGAGTATTCGTTATAGGGGATAGGATCTATCTGCTCTCTCTCTCTCTCTATTTTCTTTGATGCAATTTAGAGAGAAAGAGCAGTACGAACTAGAAAAAAAAAGATAATCGGGAGATGATTAAAAAATAGATACATAGACATCTAAATCTAAAGTAAAGGGATGTATATAGTATTCCTATATATATCATCTATCTATGAAAAAAGTAAACAGAGTTCGTTTTTGGGTTCCCCGAAGCCCCAAATGGATTGGATCGTTTCTGCTTCTGCCAACGAAATGAAGGCCTCGCCCCTTCCGAATGCTTCTTCGATCCTGAAGTTCTCGCGAAGAGAATAAGATGCAGCTCCCTCTCCCTCTGTCTTTTTCCGCTTTGCTAATATTCCCCTCTAACGTGGGCCGAGCCAGGCTTAGGCGGGCGCGGGAGGAAGAAATAAAGTCGAAGAGTGTCTTCTCCTTTGTCCTTTTTCAGTGCAACATAGGAAAGCACCCTCTTTTTGTAATCCCTGCAGCTTCCCAAAGGCTTTTTTTTATTGAACGCATGGTGTAGCTAGGACCTCTCCAATCATGTTTGAGCCTATGTTCACCCGGGGCCCAAAAAGGAGAATTCCGGAATGCCTGCCAACGTTCAGATAAAGTGCATATCCCTTACCACTAAAGGAAAGGCTCGACGAAGGGGGTGGGGGTGGGTGGGAGATTTTCCGGCTCGATGAAGGGGACTTTTAGAGATATTGAGATGTTGATTTGTTTTTCATCGAAAAGGAAGAAGGCCAAGGGGATAGCTGCCTTCCTTCAGACTTTGCCTGCCGACGTTCTAATAAAGAATTCCGGCTCGGCCCAGGAAAGCATTGGCAACAACATAAATAAAGGGGTCCATGTAGTTGCTGCGCCCGCCCACTGAGTAGCAGGTTCGGCATCTACTGCAAAAGAGAGATTGAGTCTGAGGGAGAGGGGGGTTTTCTTGGGGCTCGAGAGATTGAATAGATAGGGCCTCACAAATTGTTAATTCGCCGCTGGGGAATTCACATAAAAGGGAATGATTTATTCTCAACTAAAAAAGTGCTCTCTGAACCGAACATGAAAGCTGTAAGTAAGTGAGGAGGAGGCGACGGCTGCAATGTCCTTGAGGATGAGGTCCTCCTAGTACACCCGCTCTCTCTGGCCCCTTCCTCCTCTCGTCCTCTAGTGCCTCATCCACCCACTCCCTCTCCAGAAGCACACCTCTAGTATTGGCGCGTCCCAAGAGTTCCATCACTACTACCACTAACGTTTTGGCCTCGCCGACCACCCTCATCAAATCCTCAGCATGCGTGAACGAGAGACAAAGAGAGGGGGGAGAAAGAGGTGGTGACAAGTGGGCCTTAATAACGGTGAGGCTGGTCCATGGATGACTCAGGATAGTCAACATGCCAACAAGCAGCTAAATAATGCATTAAAAAACTTTCCATATAAAAGTTCTTAGAAAATAAAAAATCATTTAAAAAATATTTAATTAATTATATGCTAATGACTTTTTTCCATTTCATTGATCAGCTCAACCAAAAAGCTTGAGCAAACGGGCCTATGAATTTTTATTAATGAAACACAATCGTGATGAAGACACTCATATAAACTAGATGATTCCCCCACGCTGCTGCGGGAATTGGTATAAAACTTTTGTTTGCAAATTTCATGATAAGAAATTTAGAAGGCATTGGGTATATATAAAAATGCTAGCTATAACTTAAGTCAAAATAGAAATACACAAGATTATAATTTATAAAAAAAACTTGACATATAGAAAAACAAAGATGATATTATGATAGTATATATGTTGATAGCGTGAATAATCGATTATTGAACTGTCTTGTCTTGTGATCGAAACAGACATGCCCTATATAGGCATAGTTCATTTTTCTTTAATATAATTTAGAGACAACCATAAATGTATATGCTAGTCTATATATGATATATGTTCATTAATTAAGAATATATGTACACAAAATTAAAAAGAATATGATTTGGTACCATACCGTTTAGCTTCATGCATGGCATTTGGTAGTCTATTGTTTGCTTGGTTAATTGAGGGTTGCATGGTTGTGCATAATGGGGAGAAATAAATGTACGGGATGAGTCATGTATCACTAAGAGAAATTTGAGCCAACCAAAATAAATCCAATGGTCAATAGTAGAGTGACTTTGGGATGATTTGTTATACGTTAAGTTTGGATCTAATGGACATAGATATATAATTAAGGTGATGTGGAAGCACCACATGAGAGGAAAATTGTAATAATAACACTAAGAGATCAATTCTATAGGTTATATAGATACATATATAATAACCCTTATAAACATATACATACACACGACACATATCTAACTCTACGAGCACCTTCAAAGATTGGATCAATATATATGTTAATAGTGTCGAAATCACCACAAACGCCACATCACACAAAATCATACTCAAAACAGCCAACGACGAACATAATTTCTCTAGTTTTTTAAAGGACTTCTTTTTAGACGAGGCCAAAGTTCATGAACCGAAAACAACCACTTTAATTATTTGTTGGTTTTCGTAGCACTTTGCTAAGATATAATTAAGTTGTATAAATATGTATAAGTTTTTGGTTCACCATAAACATGATGATCTGAAACACAACATTCGTGTGTCGTAGGTGCACTACTACAAATTTAAGGCACCTACAACTTGATGGTACACTCATATATGTATATATACCCTCACCTGTATAACTTGATGGTAGTTGTCGAGATGCGAGTCGTCCGGACGAGCGGCGCCCTCTCGTCGCCGGCGGCCAGCTTCGTCTCGGACTCCGGCGACGCCGCCGCGGCATAGGCATCCTTCTTGGCCGGGCATGTCGCCGCCGGCAAGCTCTCAGTGGCCAAGCCTGCTGACGGCGGCATGTGCTCTCTCTAGCTTCAAATATATTCCTAATGCATTCGAAAGTCCCAGTATAGGGCTAGCTAGCGATTTATATTCGTGCAAAAATAATGCGTTATCACGTACGCATTCATGCACACTTATCCCCTGTACATGTTGTTTTTTTAATTATTCATAAACATATCCTACCTTTTGCTTTGGCTAATTAAGTGGCGGCAACTTTTAGGTTCTTGTGTCATGCAAAATGTTAAACAAGCATAGCCTAGTGTTGATATATTTCCCAAATTTAACCGAAAGAAGTCAGGTGTCTCCTTTGGAACATCTAGAAATATAGGCGTATATATAGTATATGATTGTCTAATTTTGAGCTTTGACTCCATTAAAAACATTTTGATCTTTGACTAACGATTAATCCAATAAATCTAGATTTTTCCATAAAAGAATGATAATATAATTCTTCTTAGTTATTACTATGATTTCATAACCATATAAGCGAAATTATATAAGAGAAATTTATGATGAAATATTCCTTTTTAGGACAGTCAAGAGCTATAAATGAAATGTGACGTATATATCTGATATTCCCCAAAACAGTCTGTATAGGTGGCACAATTGTGTTTTGTCGCCTTGTCAAATAATTTCACCCCTAGAGATAATTAAAAGGTCTCGCATGCTTAAATATTGTTTCTTCTACAAAATATGAAAAAATAAATATAAAGACGGTTTTGGCCGTCTCTATTGATCACCACTATCTCATAGACATGGTTAGTAACCTGTCTAGGGCAATGGTAATACCTTAGAGATGGGTCTTAGAACTGTCTGTGATTACATATTATAAAACATCTCTGATTTGTCCTAATATAAGTCAAACTTCTTTATATATATTTAACTAAATTTATAGACTAATTTAGCAACATCTGGAGAGATGGAAATAAAACATAAGTCATGTTTGTCCTAACTCGTATAATGTGTATGTACACATCTCCATAAGACATATAAGACATGTGATCCACTATTGAAATAAACATAACAATAAATAAAGGTGCTCATGAAAGTAAATATACTTCAGGAGAGAGAGATATATGAAAGGGAAATAGAGTGTGGGACTTAGATGGTATGCTGGGCCCACATGGTTGTATTTTTTGGGTTGGTGTTGGTACTCACCCAGAATCATCACCTAGCATGGAAGATGTTGCAAATATTATTCTGAATAGAGAATGTCTCGAGCTTTACTACGACCTATATAGATGAATAAATATGAAAAAAAATATAAAAATAAAGTAGTGATTATAATAAATTATAAATGATATGAGATGTTTGTATGAGTTTTAAGATATATTTTTTATTGAATAATGATGAGGCTTGTTTGCATGTTAAGTTTTAATGGGTTGTAGCTATATGTGTGTAGTGTTGTATCAAGTTCTCTTCACTTGGTAATGGTAAGCAAGCACACTATATAATCATGCATGCTGTTAGTTGTAGATCCGCGTAATTAGTTTAATGCATTTCTTGCTGACGATCGATGCATGGAAACAGATGGAACTCTCAAAGTGTACTAATGCAGAATCCACTTTGCATCTCAAAGTGTACTAATGCAGAATCCACTTTGCATCCACCAAACATGCAACTGGACTTGGCAAACACATATTCCATTCAAGAAACGGAAGAGCCTTCCTACGCACCGTCCACTGATCATCACTACTCTTGCTGACAGAAACAAACGAGATGCCCGCACTACAAGAGGAACCCCCTTTAGTAATACATATATGTATTGCTAAAAGTCTCTATAAGTATTGCTAGGGTCTGCACCAACGTATTTAATATGCGTTGCCTATGCTGCCGTTGCTAGGATCAATTACAACACATAGACAACCGTTGATAACAAGTGGAAATAAGCGTTGCTACTTAGCAACAATTTTAATAGGTTTCAGCAATACTTATATATGTTGTTCCCTTGAGAGATGAACAGTTTTATATAATCTTAGCAATGGATATAATCAAGTTGCTGCAACATGTACAAATATTGTAATTTGAGCTATCCACTGTAGGTGGCCTTTGACCAATTATTTTGTCAGGCAAGAGACCCATGAACTCAAAGCATGCACAAGTGACAATAGTCCAATCAATCATGATAATCGATTATATATTAAATATAGTATTTTGCATTACATAGACAATCATCAGTATAATTCATGGCATTAAACCTTTGTTCAGAACATTAATGCAGAAAATAGAATCTAAAGTATATAAAAAAAACACATCTTGTTGCCCCCATTCTCCACCTTGCAGCCATCATCATTCCGTGATATGTACAGGTGACCTAGTTGCGTACTGGCAGTCACGAAATTTCCCCCACATCTTCACCCATTTATCTTGTCAACCTATAATAGAAAAAATATATAAGCATTAATATACCATTATGAAGACGAAAAGCACATCTCCGAAGAAAGAAGTAAGAGATAGGAACATACAAAAATTGCAGGCTACGCAATTTCAAGTCCTACAACATGACCAACAATTTTGTAGCCTTTGTATGGCCTAATCAAATCTTCGGATTTTGCCAATGCAAGATCGACATGAACCATTAAAAATTCATTTCCTAGCTCAACACCTCCAACTCTGTGTGTTGGATCACAGCTTACAATAGTGGCAAGAGCCACGTTTGTATTCCGATTTTTCCAACTTTTTAAGAATACTTTAGTTCCAACCTGAAGTGCATAAATACATCCATCAATATTATCAATGTACTTTAAGAAATTCAAGTATCATAAATAATTTCACAGTAAAATACCTCCATTGAATTGTCAGTGATAAAGTCCATTTTGTTGCACTGTTGTTTCTATAAAAAAAATTTGGATCATGGTTTGCAATTTAACCACAAGATAGAAAGAAAGAAAGACCAAACAGAGCCAATTATTGTTCTCCAATTGAATCATAATACTAGTGAATCATGCATGTTATAGTTTGAATGGACTGATATTTGTAAACATGGTGAATAAAAAAACAACCTTGTATGCACCACCAACTTTATGTGCATGTACCATATGGCTTTCCTGATTGTCAGGTTTCTTGTTCTATAGGGGAGGGCAACAAATCAGTGCTAAAATTATATATATTAAGAAATTTTACTTTCAAACTTTTCTATCAAATAATTTTTGAACTAAATAAGAAGTGAAAACTAACCTTGGCACAAATAATCTCCATCTGTTTCCCATGGTCATTTAGGCCAAAGGTTCGTTTGTTCTAGAATAAAAGAATACATCACATTGTCATGAACTATAGTAAACATTCATAGTTAGTTACAAACAGTACCAAATAATATAATGCTATGTATCCATGATAACCATATAATAGGATGCAACCATGGTGAGTTCAGAATAAAAATATAAATTGAAAGACAAGGACCTTGTGTGCAGTAGCATGCTTGGTTGGTGGTGTCTTATCCTCATCTTGAACATGGCTTTGTGAATTCTGTTGTCAAAGAGAGCATATATTCCCAGTTACAAAATAGTGCAACTATTCCCATGTATAAAACAATGAAATTTATGTATATTACCATCACAATGTTTTCCTGCTCAACATGACAAATTTCTTGCAAGGGACCGTCACCATACACTTTCTATCACAGTGGAAAATAAAAGGACATTAAGACCAGATTTTATTAAACTATTTAGACTAAAATGTTAGCAAGGTTTACCACTGTTGAATTGTCAGTTAAAAAGTCCATTGTGTTGCATTGTCGTTTCTGAAAAAATAGAGAGAATTTACAGTAAAAACCAACATGCTGTGTGTGCTATTTTAGTTGTTGTGTAGTGTTCAATAAATAGAAATAGCATTTTGAACTTGAAACAATTAGACTAACCTTAGAAGCAGTACTATACTTGTTTAGGCTTGGTCTAACAAGCTTGCGGGTAAGGTTCTCTTTGTTCTGCAATACACATGTGTGTTATAGTTTCAAAGAGCTTATATCTGTAGACATGGTGACTTAAAGTGATGAAAAAATAACCTTGTGTGTACTTGTAACTTTGTGTGCATTCACCATATAGTTGTCCTGGTTGTTAGGTTTATTGTTCTACAGTGGAAGGTAACAAATAAATTTTACAAATCTATATATACATTTATATATCGAAATTAAGCTACTTTCAAACACTTATTGACTATGGCATTGAGTTTGAAAGGATAAAGAGAGAACTTAATCAACTTACCTTGTATGCACTAGAAATACTCTTCCCTGGTTGCATAAGCTCATTCTGGTCCAAATTTCCTTTGCGCTGCAATGGAATAGCTCATAAAATTGGCACAAACTATAATGTTCCAATTATTTGTTTACTCTGACATCATGCACTCCAATTAATAAAAAAGTGAAATTAACCTTGTTTGCACAGGAAGTAATCTTCCTTTGCTTCCCACTGTGATTCTGGCCCAAAGACTGTGTATTCTAGAGTAAAAGAAGGCATATGATTATAATGAATGCTATGTAAATAATAGTGAATATATATATATATAATAATATTTTAAATGCAAAGGCAAGGACCTTGTAAACAGTAGAATGCTTGGTTGGTGGTTGCAAATTCTCATCGTGCACATGGCTTTGTGTATTCTATTGTAAAAGAGAGAAAATAAATGCTATTCCCAAGTAAAAAAACACAGCTATTCCCAGTTATAAGATGGTGCTATATCACATTACCATCAAACTGTTGTCCTGCTGATCCATAATGTTTCCCTCCTCAAACATACAAATTTCTTGCGAGGGGTTGTCACCATACACTCTCTGTCCATAACAGAAAATGAACAGAGATCTATACCACAGTTTATGAGATAATGCAGAAAATGTTATGATATTTCTTCCATAAAGATACATACCCTCCTTTTTGAATTAGGTACGTCATCACAAATAGCTTTTTTGTTTGTTGACGCTCCATCTAAACCTCCCTGTTACTTCAATTAGGTAAGTTAGATGCATTCATTGGGTCACACACAAGCTCATATAATTTTTTTAGGACTCAACTCCCTTAAATTCACCTGATTCTTTTGTGCCTTTTCCAACTTGGTTGCCTTCTCTTTTAATTGTAAAAGTTCAGCATCATTATTCTCAACATGGCGTTCTAACTTTTCCATCTGCAGTCTAATAGCCATTACATCTTCACTGGAGTTATCCTCCACTGTAGTAAGATTTATATTCTGCAAACGTCGGGAAGTTGGCACATCAAGCACTTGTTTAGGCTTTGGAACTAGTCCAAGACCATGCACACGCCCAGGCTTGTCATCTCCTAGTATTTGGTTCAATGCATCTCCTTTCCAAGCAGTCTTTCCTTTACTAGCATCCGCTAAAGCTAGTTGTTCAGCTATAAGTCTCTTCAAATTATCCTAAACATATGAAAAATTAATACGAATAAAACAACATATGAGAATAACTGAAAAATATCTATGGTTGAGTGTTAATAGTATACCACATGCCCATTTATATTCTTGTCACTTTTGCGCTTGTGTGTGTGGACATAAACAACAGCTCTATGTGGTTTCTTCTTTGCAGGATCTTTTTGTCTCTATGGAACACATGACCAAATCAGTAAAGTCTTAACAGTAGCTATACATGCTTGAAATGGAAATAGATGAATACTATTCAAGACATGTTTTACCATCTCTTCTCTTGTGTGAGCAAAACTCTTTGTCCCTGCTGTGTGAATTGCCTTCTTCTTTTGGCAGTTTTTCTTATTCTGCTCACTTATTCTCTGTTATGGTCTCGTAGAGTTAGCAATCAAAAAAGAATATTGCATTGTTTTGTTTAGTACAGAGTTCTAATTTGTAAGACCATTACAGAAATGAATATGGTACATGTACCTTCGATTTCTCGTTCATCCAATGATTGACAAGAGCAATCCACTGGTCAGAAAGCACACCTTCTAGGACATTGTTGCAATTAGCTTCCTTAGTCTCATTCACATCAAAATACAAATCTTTTAGTTTTGCTTTATATTGCCACCATCTTTCTACAATTTTTTTTAATATGAACTCTTCCATCCGAGGAGCATAAAGGAATCTCATCTACATATAGCAACACAGAAACTCATATGGCCATATGGGGATATGCATAACATAATACAAGAAGTTAGCAAAAATGTTGATCTGAAAAGGAATTACCTTACTTGCTTAAGTATGTCCTTTTTAACTTTTAGTTCATTTGTATTTTTCTCTCTCTTTCCTATTACATATCTCCAGTCTGTGTAGCCTAAGCTACACAGACTACCATTCCTAGCTACCATTCCAAGAAATTTACCCAAAATTCCAGCTTCTTCCCCTACCGCCTGATTGAGATCATTGCATTGAACCACAATTCTAAGCCCTTTCGGAAGGTTCCAAACATCTTTCAGTTTTGTCGAAAGGTTCCAAACATCTTTCAGTTTTGTCTTGCCACGTGTTTCAGGTGCTCCATTTTCAACTGTTCGGTGTTAAATTGCAAAGACAAAAGTGATCCTTAGTAATCAGGGATACGAGTAATAATGTCATTATTTCTTACCATTAGGACTGTTAAACTTAGCAGTTACCTCGAACATTAATATCAACATCAGTATCTTCATTGCTTTCATCATCAATATCAACATCGTCATTAGTGTCTTCATTGCTTTCTCCATCATTGATATCAAAATCGTCATCAGTGTCTTCATTGCCTTCTCCAAAATCATCACATACAGTTTCTTGTTCAGATGGTGTGGCAAGCTATGGAAGGGTATTTTCTTCTTCAGTCTGTTCCTCTGACAAATATTCCTCATTGCTCTGAACAATACGCCTTCTTCTACTCCTTGCCATATCTCTTGCACCCAAAAAAACCTATCTGTCATTTATGGCGTCGAAAGTATATCATTCTCATTTCAGAAGTAGGACTGTGCTGTACATAGTTTCAGACAGAATAATTTCAGAATTGATTATACCCTGAGCCATTTTGGATTTGTTTTTGAAGAACAACAGAGTACTGCTGTCCCAAAAGTAATGCTATAATATGGATCTGTTTGTCATACTCACTAATTCATTTGTCCATTTTATAGGCCAACAATTTGAAACAAGTAATGGGTAGAAATAACAAAATTTAATTGGCTGCAAGGTAAAACTAGATCACATATTGTATTGCTTACAGTTGTGTGAAGCCTAGCCGTACGTAGACCAGGCTCCTTCAGCTATGGACGGTCAGTGCATCTGACTCCAAACCTGAAAATAGAACACATCAAATTGGTAAGTATTGTAGTACTGGAAGGGAATTAGCCTCCATTGCAATTTGGCGACTCAGAGAGGTAGTAAGATGTGCAGAGGGAGGCAGAGATTCCGGGGCTTGGAAACATTGCCGCCAACCGCGCGGGGTGGAGCAGAGCGAAGTGGACAGCCGGTGTCGGGAGGTATAACCCGCATCAATTGCAGTGCCCCGGTCACCCAGCACATCGGCTGGGGGCGTCTCCGGCCCGCCGCATGCCCTACGTCATCCATGCCCTACGACTGGATGAAATTCGGACGTAACATATTTTGGTTAGTTGTTTAATTTATCTAAGCATGACCGAAAAGACACGTGTTTTTCCATGGCCAATCCGGTCCGGACAGACCGCATGAAAAAGACATGTAATATATTTTTGGTCCTAAAATATAGTTATTTAAAAAATGTTAGCACGATAAAAAAACACGTGTTTTTCGTTGTCGACCCGGTCCGGACAGACCGCATGAAAAAATATATATAACTAAATAACAGTGATTTAATATTTTAGGACAACAAAAAACCACATGTTTTTTCGTTGTTGACCCGGCCGGACAGACCGTATGAAATCTGGACGTAAAATTTGTGTTAAAATAGTAGTTAGTTAATTTATCATAGAACGACCAAAAAAACACGTGTTTTTTCGTTGTTGACCCAGTCCGAACAGACGGGATGAAATTCGGACGTAACATATTTTTGTCTTAAAATAGTAGTTATTTAATTTATATTAGAACGACTGAAAAGACACTTGTTTTTCCATTGTCGATCTGGTCTGGATAGACTGCATGAAAAAGTGGCATAATATATTTTAGGTGTTAAAATATAGTTAATTAAAAATGTTAGCACGACAAAAAAAATCATATGTTATTTCATTGTCGACCCGGTCCGGACAGACCGCATGGAAAAGAGATGCAATATATTTTTGGTCTTAAACTATAGTTATTTAAAAAATGTTAGCACAACCAAAAAATCACGTGTTATTTCATTGTTGACCCGTTCCGGACAGACCACATGAAAAATATATATAATTAAATAACAGTGATTTAATTTTTTAGGACAACAAAAAACCACGTGTTTTTTCATTGTCGACACAATCCGGACAGATCGTATGAAATCTGTACATAAAATATTTTTTTGTCTTAAAATAGTAGTTAGTTAATTTATCATAGCACGACAAAAACACGTGTTTTTTCATTGTCGACCCGGTCCGGACAGACTGGATGAAATCCGGATATTCTGAAAATAAGTTTTCAAATGGTTTATTTTTAAAATTTTAAAATAAAAAAGTTCAAAAAATTAAAAAATTTCTGGGGCAACAGAATTTTTTTTCCCGTTCAAGGAGAGGAAAAAGTTTTTAGGAATTGCCACTAGAGAAATGAAAAAAATTATGCATTTGCTAGTTCTCGAACTAGAGTTGTCAATACAGTAGAAGAAGCTAAGTACCACTAGGCTATGTCCCCCTTTATTTATTTTTTCACGTTAGCTGCAATTGAGAATATAAATAGACAGAATATAAATAGACTTCTCCAGGTATTTATATAAGATGGAAATTTAAATTCTGTTAGCACGACCGAAAAGGCACATGCTATTTCGTTGTCGACCCAGTCTGTACAGAACGCATGAAATTAAGACGTAAAATATTTTTGGTCATAAAATAATAGTTATTTAAATTATATTTGCAAGACCGATAAACCACTTGTTTTTTCGTTGTCGACCCGGTCTGGACAAGCCGTATAAAATCAAGATGTAAAATAATTTTTCTTTAAATAATTGTTATTTAATTTATGTTAGCACGACCGAAAAACCACATGTTTTTTCGTTGTCGTCTCGGTCCATACTGATCGCATGATAAAATCCAGACGTAACATATTTTGTCCTAAAATAATAGTTGGTGTGGCCAAAAATATTTATATTGAAAAAATAAGTTTTCGATCAGTTTAATTTTAAAATTAAAAATAAAAAGTTCAAAAATTCTCGTTATCTAGCCAGCTAAGAAGGATAGGGAAAAAAAATTAGGAATCGCCCCTAGAAAAAAAATAAAAAAAATCTAGGCTGGCATATTTGTTTTCCTCGTTATCTAGCCAGCTAAGGAGAGGGAAAAAAATTTAGGAATCGCCACTGGAGAAGAAATGGAAAAAAATGCATTTGTTAGGATTTGAACTACAGTCTTCGATACGGCTGAAGAAGCCATGTACCACCAGGCTATGTCCACTTCATGTTGGAGTTGTCCGTTCGACTTACTTATTCACGTTAGGTGCCATTGACAACGTAAATAGTTTTCTTATATAGGTGGAAATGGAATAACAGAACACAATAGATGCAAAGATTATAAACGCCCATTCCTTTTTCTCATCATATAAACAATATGATATCCTGGATATTTAAAAATAAGATCTAACCACCAATTCTGTATATAACTAATGTAGAACATTATTACAGGACTTATGTATGCAAATAAAAAGTTGAATCGATCTGGCTCAATCACTTAGACAATCCAAGGAAATATACGAATGACATTTTCATCCAGAAAAGCTATTGTGGTGAAGAAGCCTTCATCGCAGTAAATCTCAATCCAAAATTACTGCCATAAAAATAAAGTGCTCCCCAAGTGAAGATATAAATAATATAAGGAAATCATTGATAATGGACAGATAGATAGTGAAAAACCTTCATAACCTCACCTTTAATTAGTTACCATGTTATCGACAGTTGTTCCTTCTATATCTCTTCGAATCCATGTCTGACCATCATGTGCACTGTCAAATAGCTCCCCAAGATTATTGACATGGTATGGTTCGCATTCCACATCATTCCATTCTTCGCCCAGTTCAAATACATCTCTGGGTTTCATATTCCTTACAATAGACCACCCTGGATTTAAATGGTCTTCAATGTAAAACACTTGGTTGACTTGATTTGCAAATACAAAGGGCTCATGCTCAATCTTTTCACCGGTATGAATTTTATTTGAGAAATTCACAAGTTTGCAGCCAAACTTATCTATTTTCACTCATTTTCCTTTAGTTACATCGACCCATTCATATTTAAACAACACAACTGAGAAATTTCCATAGTAGTCTAACTTAATTATATCAAGTACCCTTCCATAATACATGATATCACCAAGGATAGGGTTAGTATCACTGGCGGACGTGTAGCTCGATGTTTTTACAGTCACAACAACTCCACTGTTTTGAGTCACCCTGGCATAACGCTTTGATCTGAACCTATACCCATGGGTATTGAATGCTCTATGTCGTTTTGCTACCTCAATTGGTCCACGTGCTAGCCATCTAATATCCTCATCAATACTATCGATACCTCTTTGATTCTCCAACTGCAAGATCTACACCAAACCAAAAGATGTATTAGTATTTGAAAAAGAGAAACATAAATTTTGAGACTTACATAATCTCTGAACCAATCAGGGAATTGTTCATTTTGCATGTTCTCAATGTTTTTTGGAGTTAGCCTTTTGCGTTTCTTCCTTTGCAAATCAGCAGCATGTTCTCTGCAAAACAAATAAACATAAATTTGAAGCAAAACACTTACAACACATAAAAAAAGGCTATGTTAGGACAATACGTACTTCAGATATGGCACTATAGCATCACAGTTGTATAGCACATATCTATATGCTTGCAATTTCTCTCTATCAGTTAAGGAGTACGCCGATGGTTTTCCCAATGGTTTTCCTACTGGAGGAAACAAAGTGGATTCTTGCCTACTCATGGGAGTCTCAAATTGATCTGGTTTGTCATTATTCCTTGATGGTATGTTATGCTTGGTAGAGAAACCTTCCAAGTATCGCGAACAAAATGCCATGCACTCATCTGCCAAATATGATTCTGCAATTGAACCTTCTGGACGCGCTTTGTTGCGAACATACGACTTCAATTTACCCAGGTACCTGTAATATACATACAAGGCACAAAACTAATAAGTTAGTATTGTATCATATGACATATGAGAAATATTATAAATTGTATGCTAATATATTTTTAGTACCTTTCAATAAAGTACATCCATCGATAGCAAACTGGCCCAGCAATCTTACATTCAGTAGCTAAATGGACGACTAAGTGAACCATAACAGTGAAGAATCCAGGAGGAAATATCATTTCCATTCTGCACAATGTGATTTTAATTGCTTCTTCCAAACGGTCAAGCTCATCAACATGGAGAACTTTTGAACATATTCCTCGAAAGTAAGCAGATAAGTCAAACAAGACAGATGTGACTTCATCGGGAAGAATACCCCTCAAAGCAATTGGCATCAATTGTTGCATTAGAACATGGCAATCATGTGTTTTGAGCCCATGAATTTTTCCTTCAGCAGAGTTCACACATCTAGATATGTTTGAAGAATAGCCACAGGAACTTTTATATCCCTAAGAACTTTACAGAACAATTGCTTCTCACTTTTGGACATAGTAAAGCTGGCAGGTGGTAAGTAGAACTTGCTTGAAGTTCTTTGTTGTGGATGGAGCTCCCCTCTAATGTTCATTTCCTTGAGATCAAGACGAACTTGGAGATTATCCTTTGACTTTCCTTCTAAATTTAGAAGTATACCATAAATATTGTCGCACACATTTTTTTCTATGTGCATCACATCAAGATTATGCCGAAGAAGATTGCCATCCCAGTAAGGTAGTGTGAATAAACTACTTACTGCCTTATAAGTTTTTGACTTCTTAAAATCACCGATAGCATTTATTTCATCCAATACCGGACGCCCATAGTAAGTCATAGGCTCTGTACTAATCTCTGTGGTTCCATCAAAAGAATTTCTATCAAAACGAAATTCATGATTAGGTGGCAAAAATCGACGATGACCCATAAAACAAGATTTCTTCCCATGTGCCAAACGTTTGGACCATACATTTGGACCACAAGGCGGGCATGCAAATTCTCCATGCACCATATGTGAAGCAAGCATTCCTAAAGTTGGCAAGTCATTTATAGTCCACAGTACAGCTGCCCTCAAATTAAAAGTTTCATTTCTAAATGCATCATATATGGAAATGCCATTGACAAATATGTCTCTTAAATCTTCTAGAAGCGGCTGGAGGAAAACATGAATGTTATCTCCAGGACTTTTGAGCCCAGGAATTATTAATGGCATTAGAAGATTAGGTTCCTTCATGCAGAGCCATGGTGGAAGATTATATATTACTAAAACAACTGGCCAGCAACTATAGGTAGAGCTCAACATACCATATGGGTTAAACCCATCTGTAGCTAACCCAAATCGTATATTACGAGAATCAGATGCAAATTGCTTGAACCTTTTATCAAAGTTCTTCCATGCCGGAGAATCAGCTGGATGTCGAAGCACACCATCCTCTACTAAGCGCTCTTCATCATGCCAACGTGGGAGCGATGTTGTTTCTCTACACATGAACAATCTTTTCAGCCTCTCCTTTATTGGAAAATATCATAAGACTTTGCTTGGCGTTGCTTTCTTTCTTTCTTTCTTCGTTAACTTGGTTTCTGGTTTTTTATCTTTCCATCTAGAAGCCTTACAAGTTGAACAAAAATCATCATTAACCTTCTCTTTCCAAAACAGCTGACAGTTATTGGGACATGCATGAATTTGTTGATAATCTAGACCAAATTTTGAAACCACCTTCTTAGCCTCATAAAAGTTTTTTGGCAATTCTTTTCCATTTGGAATTGCCATGTGAAGAATATCAAGTAGATCTCCAAATGATTTATCACTTCATTTGTTCATGGATTTCATATTGAACAAAAGCACTAGCAGAGATAAGTGTGATAGTTCACATCCATCCCATAAAGGCTTCTCTGAATCTTTCACCAACTTATAAAATGCTTGAGCTTCTAAATTTGGTCCATCAGTGTGTGTACATGGCGAATCTGCAGAATCACTCATAGGCATGTCGTCATACACAGTCCTAAGTGCATCATTAATTAATTCGTGCATGTTAGCACGCATGTCTTCATTGTGAGGCTGTGGTTGTTGGTTCCTAATTTGCTCCTCTGAAGACTCACCATGAAAATCCCATTGGTCATAACTCTGAAGCATTCCATTGCACACCAAATGATCATAGACATCATTTTTTGAAAGTAGCATAGTATGTACGCATGTTTCACATGGACAATAAATCTTTGTATCCTCTAACTTATCTTTATATGCAAATTCAAGAAATCCATCTACTCCAGCTAAGTACTCAACAGAACCTCTAGGGTAGCGCAAAAGAATCTTGATGGTTTCTAAATCCATTTCGACCTATATAAAAAATTTGATATTTCAGGTTCTTGTAGATAATAACAATGACAAGGAATTGTCTCTTATGATCATGACGTAGCAAAAATAGGGCAATTAGAAAAGTACCAGTATAAAATCAGTGTCAGCTAATTTTGTCACAACCTAATAGACCTCCTTTATACACTGAAACAAAAGCTTTTACTCTGCAAAAATAGAGAAGAGCTAAATCAATTTACAGAAAAAACATCCAGCAATCTAATGTCAAAGCTGTCATCTCCAAGTTAAATTCCTTACTATAAATTACCTCTAGTTAATCTACAGATGATGACTCCAGAAGCACATGCGTTTAAAACCTATGTTCCAAATATCCGTTCGGATGAACAAGAAAAATCTGCAGGTGTTATTAAACTCAATCAGATAGACTCATGATGCAACAAACCTGAATAATTAAAAAAAATTGACATTGACCTGGATCTGACACTGACCTGGATTTGGGGCCAAATGGGGAATCAACCTATGAGAAGTGGCTAAGAAAAGGACCGTGCTTGCCGTTGACCCGCTGTCGTCGGCCTCGGCCCGTCGCCGGCCTGCCGCGGCCGATCCCCTCGCGGGCTCGCCGCCGCCGCTGCTGAGAACGCGCCGCTGGCCGCCGATGTGCGCTGCCGCCGCCGCCGTCGGTGTGCGCCGTGGCAGTGATGTGCGAGAGCGTGAGAAGAAAATGAGATGCGGTGTGGGAACAGGATGGGGCGGCGCTCTCGTGCGTGTTGGGTGAGGTGAGAGACACGAGAGGAGAGGAGAGAAGGTGGGAGACTAAGGTTGCCTGCTAAACTGCTAATTTCACAGATCGTATTTTAGTTGTTATGATATAAACAACTAAATAAATCATTTGATAAGAAATGTGATTAGCTCAGTTGGTTGGGTTGCGCATATTCTATCCTAGAGACCCAGGTTCGAATCCTCTGTTTGCATCTTTGCCCCACTAATTTATTCCTATCAGGTATCAGCAGCCACTTCGCTTGTGGAATTTTTTTAAAAAATAAACTCGCTTGATAAATTTTTTAGAAAACAAAAACAACACTTTTCCCAATAAACTCGCTTGATAAATTTTTTAGAAAACAAAAACAACACGCCCAATACACAATGTAAAAAAACAGCTCGCTCAATTATTATTATTTTTTAAAAAGCATGCTTAGTCCAAAAGTTTTAACAGGAAAAAAAAAGCAACTCACTTGATAATTTCTTTTAAAAAACAATTCGCTAGAGGTCCGAAATGTAAAAATAAATATCTCACTCGATTATTTTAAAAAATACAATAAGTTCGCTTATTCCAAAAGTTTTTACAGGGCATCAAGACCATTGCAAATTCAGCTCTGCAACCCATGTTCTGCAACACATATTATCTATTACAAATTAGGCTCACCCACTACTAAGCGTTGCTAGGGTCGCATTTTGGCAATGCATCCTTAATGCGTTGCCAAGCATGTATTGCTAGAGGGGGTTCTTGTTGTAGTAACGCATCAGTTATCAAACTAACAAAGTATAAGTAAAATATTACTACGAAAGAACATATTGACAAATCTATTAACTTAATAAATTAACAGAAAATTTAGCCACCATGTCCTCTCACGACTTAGAAATTCCCACAATTAATCAAGATTAAATTACACTAGTGGAACAATAACTTGGTAGGTGGGTATGATTTAGTGGAACAACTTGTAAAATGTAAAAAAAAGTATAAATTTGGTAATCACGTGCATTTTGATAAAAACACTGTTACATATCTATGATTCATCCTATTAATTTTGTTGTTTGTATTATAAGAATATGTTTCGTAGTGCTCATCATCGGAAACAATGAATATTTGATTAGTCAAATCGCTTGAAAATTATATTAGTTTGCACTTAGTTTTGACGGTCATTATATTTTTTCAGTTTCAATTCGATAGGTTGTTTCATTATTATAACCATGCAAATGCAATACATTTAGACGCTTGTCGAGAACTCGAGATAGCCTAAGTGGCTGCTTTTTCTACATCAACGTAAGGTTTTCGGTAGGATTTTTCGTCCGTCCCTTTTTTTCGCATTTTTTTCTTTTTTTCGCCGCTTTTTCTTAGGTTGATCGAGAAATATTCAATCAGATTTTATGGGATGATTGGTTTAGCATCGTACGGATATTCAATCAGATTTGATGGGATGATTGGTTTAGCATAGTACGGATACGAGACTGTTTCCAGATATTGAAGACGACAATCGGTTATGCGAGCTAGGCCTACCGCTTTACATGTGGGCTAGGTCAAATAGAGACAATGCAACTGCTTTACTTGTGGGCTAGGTCAAATAGAGACAGGCCAAACAGAGGAAGGTAACGGGCTGGACTAGGAGGGAGGTAACGGGCAGGACTAGGACTGAAAAGAGGAAGAAAGACCCAAAATAAAGAGTATAATGTATGCTATACACAATTGTTTTTAGCCGTTGCAACGCACAGGTATTTTTTCTAGTAATAAATAGATAGATATCAAAAATGGCAAAGTGCACAAACTATTTTTAATTCTAATAGTACCAACATTGCACCAACATCCTAATCCTAAATGAAAATTGCAGAAAGGGCTAAATAGTTAAATATAAATTCATAGCTAAAATAGCTACTTTGGTCCAAAACAACCCAAGAACTGCTTGCGAAACGCCTCCTTGAGGTTCTGCCGGGTGCCGCTCTTGCATGGCTCATCGTCATTGTCGACGCTGCATTTGCAGATCATCATCAGGCCATGCAGGTCATCCGGCCCGAGCTCCGTGGACATCGTCGCCGCCGCCGCGGCCTCCTCGACGACGGCGACGTCGCAGTGGATGGCGAACTCATCATCGGTGCTGGACCACTGGCTCGCCAGGACGTCGTGGCGGATGAACGTGAAGCAGCAGTACTCCGCCTTCCCGGTGCCGTGGAACGACGTCGCGTAGCTCCTCACCTCGTTCGTCGGAGGCACGCACGGCTGCAGACTGACCATGCGGAACCGGACGTTGGTTCGGATGCCGCCGCCGGCGGCGGTGGCGGTGCCGGGGTCGGCGGCGTGGAGCTTGAGGCACACGGTGGAGTAGCCGTTGCCCGAATATTTATTTGCTCGAGTTGGGGTGGAAGAAGAAGCTCCAGGTGTGACCTGCGGCCTGGAACTTGGACGACTCGATGTCGTATTTGCTGCCTTGGTGAGATTTCTTGATCGCGTTGCGTATTTTGATCTTGAGAAAGTTGCAACCGGAGGTGGCCGCCGAAGTAGAGGTGGCCGTCGACGCGGTGACGACGTCCTTTGTCGGTGACGACGACATGGCAAGCTAACTAGCAGCTACCTGGTGGTGTGATGGAAATAACATGCTTGGAGACATTGATCATTTCATCAATTTAAATGCCTAATGCTTAGCCGCACGATCAGCATGTGTTGGATGAAAAGATGCTTGCATACAACAACATCTGCTGATCGAGTCAATCACCTGAAGACTTAGTTCTCACGTGAAGAGAGAACGTGTGCTTGTGGCCGTTTGGCGGCTGCGTTTCTCACGGAGCCGATCCGGCTTTGACGCGGAGGAGCAACGGATTGAGCGTGGGCTGCTGTTCAGTGTTAGCTCTATATAGGAGTCAAGGAGACGTCCTTGAAGGATACAGAACACAATAGCCATCTACTCTGAAATTCCTCTACTGCCGCCGTGTTGCGTCGCCGTCGGTCCAAGCCGGCCGTTGTGCTCGTCGTGCAATGAGCATCCCGGTGAGCGGTGTCTCCGAGCCTTCGCCGCATTCGCACCTGCACGGGGGCGGTGTAAAGGTTTCTGGGCAACGTATTTCTACGCGGCCGCTCGACATCATCGATTGACTGCACTGCTTCGACTCGCTGATCTCCGTCGATCCATTCAGTGAGTGAATTCTTTCGTTTACAAAGGAAAGGAATCTAGTTTTGATCGTACCTGAGTTTTATATATGCATGGTACTGTTCATCTAGATTAAAATATTGTGGCTAGATTACCATTGTGATTAGCTTAATGACCTACTTAGCTTGGTTATTTATGCCTTGTTTGATATCTAGCATGATAGAATTTATGAGTTTTTCTTGTCCTATCATGTCGCAAGTAGGTTATGCTTGCTGTATGTGCTTTCAAATAATAATGCTTGGAATAAAATTAATGGCTAAGTATGTATTATTTCCAACAGTGGTGGTGGTGGTGGTCGACGGCGAGATCAATCGGGGACGAAGAACTCGATGCAGGGTTAACGTTGGTTAAATAGATTATAGGAGAGGTAATTAACCACACGTTTGACGTACGTACGCCCGGCTATATGCCCTATCCGTATTGTAGTTTGGTTCGGATCATGTATAGAAGAAAATTAAGCCTGGTAATTATATTAGTAGTATATCTTTATCAACTTCGATAAAGCAGTTGTTACTGGGATATACGTACGAAGCAGTTAATATGCAACACAAGTTACTACAGCTATTAGGTCAGTTAATTTTAGTTGGGTTCCGATCGGATGCAAACCGTTACAAACAGTTACGTTTAGAGACGGGACAATATCAGGTTGTTACGGTAGATAGGAATAGTTTTAATGTTTCCATGGTACATAATCCATAATCCATGTTTGAGTCGGTTATAAAAATTGAAGATGTTTTTTGGTTCGTTATACGTGTTTGAGTCAGTTTTAATTTTATGTTTTGGTTTTAATCTATATGTCCTCTCTATCTCTCTCTTATTATAAAAATTGAAAATATTTTTGCCTATTTTAGTACGTCGTCTGTGTAAGTTTTTAAGTTTGTTTGCTTTTGGAAATACAAATTGAAGATGTTTCCGTGATTCGTCATCCGTGTTTGAGTCGATTTTAATTTTATAATCTATATCTCTTCTCTATCGCTATCTCTATCTTTTCTCCACTATTATAAAAATTAAAGATATTTTTGCCGGTATTTTGGTATGTCATCTGTGTACGAGTCGGTTTTTAAGTTCATTTGCTTTTGGAAATACATATCCATATTTGAGTCGGAGTCGGTTTTTAATATCGTTTACTTTTGGTAATAAAGAAGGAAACATAAAAAAAATCTGCTTAAAAAACTCGTATGCTAATTTAAGACGATCGGACTCCGAACTGCAGCTTATGATTTTGTAAAAGAAATATAAATCCAAGCGAACTTCGACAGTGAATTTCATCTTAACTAAACCATATAACAATTATAAGATTAAAATAGACTTCACCCGTTGCAATGCATGGGCATTTTTACTCGTGGATTAAAAAGTATGGTACCGAAGAGATATCTTTTAACCAGAAAGTACGTACTGGATAAGTTATTACACTATATATATATATCTATATCTATATATGTACTCATCTACCAAGTTTATATAGTGTAGACGCAAACTACTCACTAATAAAAAAAGAAAACAAATAAAGTCCAACTATATATGCAATTTAAAATATCTCACATTTTGAATAACAATTAAAATAAGAGTCCATGTAGAAATTCTATTTAGCAAAAACTGAAATTGTGATTAAAAATTAAGAAACAATGAATATTGAGATAAAAATCCATGTAGAGATATAATTTAGGGAAAAATCTGAAATGCAGATTAAAATTCAAAAAATAAGTAATATTGAGACAAGAGTCCATCTCTAAGTCTCTCTGTTCCTAAGTCCTGGTTCCCAACTCCCTCCGCCTAGTTTTCCACGCGCACGCTTCCCAAAATTGCTAAACGATGTGTCTTTTTTAAAAAAATTTCTATACGAAAGTTACTTAAAAAATCAT